GGGGGGGGGGGGGGGGGGGGAACTTCATGCAGAAAATGTACTTTAACATGGGTCTAAAGGATCAGTAGAATCTGAAAGCTGGGGAGTATGCATTGCAGATGACCAAAGCAAATAATAAGGCAAACGTGGTGTGTGCAGAAGGCTCAGTGAGAGTGAAGAGTTTGCTTTGGAATAGTGAAGAATAAGACTGGTTACACTGGCTGAAGCCAGCTTTTGAAGAGCTCCAAACCCAGGCAGCATTTACATCAGGGGCTGCAAACCGTAGGCCCACGGGCCACATCTGGTCTGCAGATGTATTTTGTCTGGCTCACAGAATGTTTAAAAACCTGGAGTCTAAATCAGGAGATTTTACAGAAGAATATGGATTACCGATGGTGGAAGAACTAATAACACTTTGGCCTACATTCCTGCAGGCCAACTATAGCTGAGGTAGTAGCTGCCTTGTTGGATGAGGCATGGTTTCCAGTATGCTACACTTGCCACAACTCTTTGTAGTTTCCCTAATCCTCAGACCATTTGCCACTTACCAGCTGAGGTCACTTGTCCTTCACCAGCACACTTGCACTGTTTTCTTACACTAAATATTTCTCTGTGCCCATGTCTCAATCAATCAATAGTAGAAAGAATAGACCAAGAAAAATTGGAGAAATAAATTTTTTTTTGTGGAAGTAAAGAATAGTTCTATTTGTTTAATATACAACACCCAGGTGTTTCACTACTTTCTATCACCTTTCCAGCCCATCTAGGAATCTGACTATTTGATCCACCTTTGATATTATATCTGGAGCTAATGGGATTGCTTTGGATTTTTAAGTGGAAGCCTGACATGCTAAAAAATCTCTCTTCTGTTCCTGACCTCAGATTGTCCAACCTCCATATTTATTGTATACTAGCCTTTCCTGATGCTGTCTGTTGGAAGGGAAGAGTCCCTTCAGACTTAACAAGATTGCTTGTAAGGTAGGGAGGAACAGAAGAGGAGGGGAGGGGACAAGGAAAACTGGAAAGATGTACAGTCTCCTTTCTTTTTTTTCTTTCTCACACTTAAGTCCCATTTAGAGCCTTACTACATTCTGCCATGTGTTTGTTAATTGAGGGGAGGGACCATTCATCTAACACAGCAGTTGTACCCAATATGTTTTTGTTGAATTATTAATAATAAAGTACATCTCCAAACATCAATAATTTTCTATTAGTTTGCATTTTAACTGCATCTGGAGGTGCTCAGTTGCATAAACTGTCCCTGGTCAAAAGCAAGAAATGGGGAAAGTGGGCATGAGGTTGTTACTGAACATGTAAAACAGAGATTGTCTTAAATGTGCATGTGGCTGACTAGCAAGAATGTATTCTGTTCTGCTACTATAACTTTTGTAAGAAACCATACATTGCTTATAAAATATTGTCCAGTCTATATAAGTGAAGCTAGAGAGAGAATTCTCACTTACTATCAGAAAAAGAAACATACCGGGTTACTTAGGAACTTCTCAAAGTCATTCTTAACTTCATAAGGTTTCTCAGTAGCCTTTCTTTGGAGTCTAATCATGGAATAAAGAAAATCTGTAACCACAATAATTGTATATCGATACGATCTAATAGCCAACACTTACGAAGAATTTAATGTCTTTGGCATTTGCCAAGCACTTTATGTATATTAATTCAATTACCCTTAATGACAACTCAGGCTCAGATAGGTTAAATAACCCCCTCACAGTCATACGGCTAGCAAGTAGATGGTTTGAACCCAAACACTGTGACTTGAACCCTCAGTTTCAACCACTATGTCACACTCACACCAGCAGCTCAGCGTCCTCTTCAGTTAGATGGTTCACAAAGCATTACCTTAACTGATTCCACTCACCAGGCTCTGGCATGGACTTTCAGGAGTGACGGTGGGGAGAGGAGAGTAAAAGAGACTGGCAAGAGGAAAACGTGGACACGAAAGAGAGGGAGATGGAAAAGGCTAAAGGGTGCGGTGCTTGCTAGAACTGTAAGCTGACTGAGGGCAGGGAGCCAGAAAGCTATCGTTTTCTGTATTCACCAAGTATTCATTCAAGAAATATTTATGAAGGAATTGAATAGTTGAATTCAGGAGCATCAGGAACCTTTCAAAAGATCTAAGGATGAGGGCAGAGGCAGAGGCAGAGGTAGTCCAGGTAAGGAAGGGTAGGAACTTGGGGCATGGGAGGAACCTTAGTAAGAGAAACACAGGTGAAAGAAAAATGAAAAAGGGCTATTAAATCACTGATGATTTTCAAGGAAAACATTTAAAAAGTTACTTTCCATGAAATTGATAGGAAGTAAAATTTTCTGAAAATTCCAACTATACTTCATTGATGCAGAAAATTTGAATTAGCATACCCCTGGCAAGGCCTGTTCTAGGTTCCTTCAGCATTTAGTCTAGCGCACCCCTGAGGGCTAGTCGGGCTACTTAGAGATCTCTCACATTAGTGCTCTGTGACTGACACGTGCCCCTCACTTGCTCTCCACCTCTGCCGATTTTATGTCCTCCACCTGGGTTTTCTCCTCACTCCGTATTACTCTCTGGGTCTCACATCTGTCCTTCCATGCTTGTCTCAGATCTGGCTCTTACAGTTCATAATCCTAATTAAACATACTCGCTAATATCCCTGGTGCCCTTTTTCAATAACACCCTCTTAGAATCTCCTTGAGTTGCATGTTATCCACAGTCTTTTAAATCTCACTTTGTTAAAATCAACCCATCTTCCAACTCTTTTAATTTACAGTCTCCCCTCTTTTTAAAAACATAACAGTTTTATTGAGAGATAATCACATTACAATAAAATTCACCCTTTTAAAGTGCACAATTCAATGATTTTAGTATATTCACAAAGTTTTGCAACCATCTTCAGTGTCTAATCCTTCCTCTTTCTGATTGCCTTTCCTTTTCAAGAGTATCTCTTTTTTGAAGATTAAGATGGAAGCTTAGATGCTGTGCATATAAATTTAACAGGCACATGGGATTTATGCGAGGGTACTTCAAAAAGTTCATGGAAAGATTCATGTTATCTTTTAATTCTACTTTTCCATGAACTTTTTAAGAACACTCATACACCCAAATGAGTATTTTTCTCTTAGCTTTCTCCAACAACCTGCCATTGCATAAAACATATCTGAATGTGTCTTGTGAGTTACTCAGAATCGTCCCACATTCCTCTGCAATATCCTCACTGGTTAGAAATCCTGACCTACATGGATTTGATTTTTTGGAAACTTGTAAGAGTTACCTGGGATTGGACCTTACAACTTAGGTGTGTGA